TACGTATTTTTAAGCCTTTTAAGTACGAGTAATAGCCTTGCATCGGACATTAGCCAAAAACCCTCTGACATGCATAAAGAAATATAAAACTTTATTTCTCAATTTCGTTGAGGAGTAAAATCGATTAGTTGACACAATAATAACGCTTAAAATGATGTGAACTCATCGAGGATACCTTGCCTTTAAACTATTATATTGGCATTTCATTAGCATAATATCGATATAACAGTTTGAAAATAAAATTAATTTGAGAACTAATAAATCCAAATACATACACATACATACATACACGAATATATACATAGGCATAAAGAAATCTTTTCATCTTATATGTATTGGATGTGCTAGTGTCAACAATCATTAGAATGATGTCAACATAAGCTTTGTAAATTGTAGCAGACTGATTTGGAATAAACCTATAAAATAAAAGTGGAAAAGCCGAAATATTCGTTGAGAAGTTAAATGAACTTTTCATCTTCATCTGAGATACAGTATCTAAACTCAATTCTACCTCTTATATCCCAGTTCATCATCATTGACCTTTCAACATCTCCAGCGTTGAATAAACAAACTTTTTTACATCACCTTATTTTATCTTCTTTTGCCTTCTTCAGTAATGATAAAATTATTTAATTTAAAAAAAAGAAAAACATAGTTTCTTCCGAAAACTATTTGTGTAATGGAATGCAATGCACATCATTAGTAGAATTACTCTTCTCTCATAAGTCCATCAAAAATCCTGGAGATATGAAAAATCAATGACTAAAGATAGCCTAATCAGTGTGTATCACTTCTCATTAGACCATTTTCTGAAGCATATGTTTAGTATTGTGATTTCTGGTAGATAACTGTGGGTTATTCTGAACGATTAGAAAGTGAAAAGGCAAAGTTATTGTTTATTGAAGAAAATATCAAAGTAAAAGGAGAGAGAAAAGTGGGAAAAGAATTTAAGAAATGACCAGATATGACAGATCAATAATGATACTTTGAGAAAAAATGTAACGTAATAATTTTTTTTTCAGTCAATCGAAAGTTTGAAAAAAGTATCCGTAAGATATTAATCAGAAAATCCCAGCTTCGAAAGTACTTTTTTACGGCTACCTTGTCATTTTCAAGAAACATTTAGTATTGAATAGTATTAAGAATGTGATAAGAAAAGAATTAAATGTTGTAATATTAGATGTAGAAGGGAAAAACAAAGTGGAAAAAATACCTTAATTTGCAATAACATTACCAAAACTTATCATGCTTTGTTGGAAAACGTTAGAAAGGAATCTCTTAAAATTTCTTACTTCATAAAAGTTATCAGTGCCAATAATGATAAATAAAACATTCATTTTGGAAGTAAAATTTATGAACAACAGAAACACGTGAAGTAACTTTATTGGATTAGGTGAATCACCTCGAAAAACAGAGGTGTATGAAGATCCTAAGCATAACATACACACACACACATACACATGAACATACATACATGATAGTGTCACACAAAATTATCAATAAGCTAAGATCTATGTTAGCCAGTAGTGGGAGAAATAGCAGAAAGAAATGGTTGGACAGACAGAATAAGTAAAAGTTAAGACTAAAATCAGCTGAAAGAGCACTCGGTCTTGCTGGTGGTAATCCAAGTGTACATCTCACCTTACTTAGCTCCAGTTATCGCCGCAACAACCTCCTCGATTAGTTCTTTTCTCTCTATTTAGAATCAGCTTTTTCCTTAATTATCATAGAACTGTAGTAGTAGTAATAGCAATAGTAGAATAAAAGAACTGTTAAATTTATCAGAAAGATTGAGCTCTAAAGAGCGAAGTTTAAATGACAACTTAAGTCAATTAGCTTTTTTAGGAAAATATTCACTGTCAACGAGCTTTTTCATTTCTTAAACTCTTCAACTGATTTGAAGCGTTTTATCTTGTTCAAGGTATAATTTAATTTTAATTCTTATCTAATTCTATGTTTGAGTGCATGGAATAAGGAAAAAAAATTTGAAGTTGGATCTACCCCTCACCATCTGAAATGACAACTTTGAAAATATCTGAAAAAAGGATTGCAAAAGCAGCGATAAAAATCTACTCTTTCGTTTCGTTCTAAAAACTAGTTCACAGGATTTAGAGATTTATCGCAATATGTGCTTTCATTTTTTTGACTGCAAAATTAGAAAAGACATCAGAATCGAACTCTCGATATGCTCGAAGTGATACACAATTTCAAAGACATAGAGTGCACTTTCCCAACAGCCTATCTGGCAACTTGAACTTATTATATTTTAATATTCATTTTATCCTATGAATAGTTCCAAACACCAACTTTAGTTCAAACCAAGGTTAAGAAAAAATACATGTCTATAATTACTTAGGAGATGCGCTATGGAGATAATTATTTAAAATGAGCAGTTTTTCAAAGTAAAAGTACTTAAATGTAAGAATTGCTAAATTTAAATAGTTTCACTCACTTAATTTTTCATATTTCTGGAGTTTTTGTAAAATCTTTTCCAAAAGCACTCAAATTCCACAGCCTAACTGAAAATATCAACCTTAACGGCCCAATCAATTTTTTAATAATATTACCTAACTGTAATGAATTGTGAACTGAATCCCTGCAACTCCCACTCCATAAGTAATTGCGAATTTTCGGAATTTTTTTGTTCCTTTTAAATTCAAATTAAGCAGCAATGAATAATTTTTTCAAGCCCTAAACAGAAAATGGGATATTTGAATTATATATATTGAAGCATGGGAAATGATTGTATTTATTTTAACAATAATGAGCTGTATAATACACTTTGATTAGTTACAAGTTTGTTGCACATCTACCATTTCGCAATTTTCAAGAACAGTTTACTACGAAAGTGAAACGGAAAGGTGAACTGAAGTGAAAAGGAGGAGAAAAGATAGAAATTTTGAATAACCGGAGAATGTTAATAGAACTCATTTCAATGAAGATAAAGTTTCAAATCTCATTTGAAATAGCTGTTGTGAAGTAAAAGTCTGAAATGAACTAAAATATTGGCAGCAGAATAAAATCTTGAGTTGGCAATCTTCACCATATTTTCTCTGCTTCATTTTTTGCCTTCATTTTTTTCTTTTCAGTTTCTCTCTCGCAGTAGTGTCAAATATTTCTTTATGCTGGACTTTTTGGCTTGACAAGATGTTTGAAATAAAGCTGGACGATCTAGAATTGATGCTTATTCACAATTTATAGTACATCAAATTCCTTCAATAAAAAATATTTGGAAAACGTCACTTCTTTTTATATGAAAGTTTGCAGTACAAATGAAATATTTTCTCCTTCATTCGTGATAATTTTATAGTATTCATTTTCATAATGAGCACCCTTCGGGATCTTAATAATAACTCATAGAATTAATCAAAAGTAGAGTGATTTTAATATGGAACGATGTTTCATTTTGTCTGATTATTGTTATTCAACTACATCTGATTACGTGTAAACTTATCAGTGAGTTGCAATGTTATGAATTTATTAAATGAAGAATGAAATAGATGACAGACAATTGGTAGGGACTAATTCTTTCTCTATCTGAATAAATATTCACTGACTTGATAGTTGAGACTCTTCCCGTGGATTACGACTTTATGAAAAATGTTCTATTGTTTGCTAAAAAAACATGAATTGATGAATGTTTCATAACCTTCGGGATTAAATTCTGTTTTATATTACCAACAAAAAAGATCTATGAGATTATATTTCAACTGATGTTCTAGGGGTGGTCATTTAATTGTTAATTTAATTCCATGATTATTCCTAATTATGTATTTATCAACTGTATTTATCTACGAGAATTTTCATTCCAATATTTGTCCTACACATTTTCATTTTAGATTTTCATTATATTTTCTAGTAGAAAAAATTTTTTCCCCTTACCCTCTATTTTTCTACGAAATATAATTTGATGAAAAAACGAGCACACACTGATGGAAAAAGCTATTCAAAGAAGTTATTATATAGCCTTTAATTTTATTTGAAAATTGAGATCAGTAGGTTGTGCTTTTAAAATTCGATAATAAAACCGTAACTTTTCCAAAACCACATGACAAATTTGAAACAATTCTTTTCAATTCCACTATTAAAAATACTAAATCAGGAAGTTATGAATAAAACGAGAAACGAAAAAATAATGAAAATCTATTTTTTTAATTACAATTTTCATGATTTAAAACCGAAATTTACAAAAAAGCTTGATATCTTTAAAGCAATTAGAAATTGTAATAATTAAAGCCATTTGCATAGTAAAATAACAATAACACTATTATAAGTGTGGTCATTTGTCAATGTCATACTAAGAGAAATATCTGACTACAGAAAAACTTTTGTTTTTGTTTCTTTTTCCTTTAATTAAGAAAAGCTTTAACGAATTTTTACAGCATTCTGAAAGAATGACAGAAAGCATATCTGTTACTGACAAAAGGAAGGGAAGTATGGGATAGTTTCAACAGTACTGCTACTAAAACCAGACATTATCTCATGCAATTCTTAAGGTATTGTTCCTTTCAGACTTTCTTAGTTAAAATACAAGAAATATAGAAAATATAAGCATGTAATATATAAGAGAGAAGCAAAGAGAATTCCACAGGATTACATTTAAAAATAATACTTCATCTAACTTTTCTGCTACTCAGTTTAGTTATTGGCAAAATCCCGTAAAAGTTTAAGGAAGAAAAAAAAGTATTTCTAAAAATAATATATAAAAAAATAAGATTTTCCTTCTCTCTGATTTATCCATTACAGGTAGAAATTTGAAAAAATATTTTAAATTATAACTATTTGTTCGAAATAAATAGTTTTAGCAACATATCCATATGGAAATTAATTTCAGGTGAAATCTGCAAAAGATGTTATTAGCTTTATTTGTTGTATATTATTAACTTTATCTATCACACCCAAGGTAAAATAGTTGATTCCAAACCTTTGCTCTGAATTCTCAAAATTAGCAAATCTTAATATATAACTAACCTGATATACGATAATACTACCACTCACTACTAACGATGGCAATTAAACCGTCTACAGCGAGAGTAACGTCTTCTATAACGCGCTACCGGAGCAGGAACACTTGTTACCTATATGTTTGTTACCATTGCCATTAAATCGAATCAATTGTCCAGCTAGCTGTGTCAGATTAGTCGACCATCACTTTTTATGTAATAAATTTTAATTTTTTTAAAATCTAGACGCTTAAAACAGTATTCCTTGTTCATGTCCGCAGAAAAAAGTCCTATTATCATTATTACTGATAATATGATCTGATGGTCAGTAGCTGCATAAGCATTCGTGTTTACATTTTTAATTTAAGCATTTATTAATTTTAAGTAATATGATCAAGGAATTGTCGCTTAGTTTGACATCTTTCGGTTTACAGTATGCCTGTCTTACTTTGGTCACCTGTCCTAGGGAGGAATTTTGCAATTTAAAAAATAGATAATACAAGTCTTGATGTTTTGTTATTTCGCTGATTCAATTCCAATGTTATTTTTCGAAGAAAAAAAATGAACTAACATCAATTTTACTACCCTTTAAAAATGTGCCTGCAAGATCCATTGCTTTTAATTTGGCAGCTATATCTTTGAATTCTATCCTAGCAGAGTTCATTCTGAAAAAGCAACTAATTATTATGGTCATTCCAACTCAAATTTTGAAAGGACTTCTACATTTTCTGGAATTTAAGAATTTCCAAGCTCTTTTAGACTTTAAGCCCATGTGCTGAGCTGATGAATCATTAAGCAATGGATAGTGATTTGGTAGTAAATATAACAACCAGAAATATAACGAAATCACGAATTATGATAATAATAATGATAGCTCACCCAATACAACGATTAGTAACTGTATCCTTACAAAATTCAATAATTATGATGGTACCACAACTTGCAAAATGATCTTCCAATTCTTTTTTGCTCGTTCTTATGTTAAGCTAAAAATTATGAGTCATTTCAGGATTAAACTCACTTGATAGAATAACAATGATAAAAAAAACTTCTAATGGTAGCCAAATTACTCAACTTAAGCTAAATCAATTTTAGTTGTGATTAATAAAATTGTCTACATAAAAGCTTCATTTGTTGTTGCTGGAATGCGAAATGATGCAAGGAACAAATTATTCAAATTATTGTTTTGATTAGATTAATTATAACTGTTTTTTTGCTGATGGAATCCGAATAACTTGAAATACTAGTAGTTGTTTAAAGAATGCCAAAAAATAAAACGTAAATTAAGATGATAGATCAGTCCAAGTTATTTTCTCTACACAGGGAATATTTTTGGTTGATGGAAAAGCTTAAGGCTAAAGAAAAACGCTGAATACCAAAAATTCAAACAATTCAATCATAAATTTCAGTCATACATTATTAACATAAACGCTATGCTTGCAAGTTTTAATCACTCCGAACCACTGATCTTGTGCAGCCTTACAAATAACTGTCATTTCCTGTTCAGAATTAATGATAGTCTCACGTAAACGTTCCATTTCACGCTCATCCTCCAATTCTATTTCCAGTCTTCTGCTCGTATCTTCCATATATAATTTGGACTGTTTCTTTAGTTTATCTAAATGACAAAATCACTTTTTCCACCTCTAAATTCATCTATCTTTTCTTTCAGAAACTTTCTACTTTCCACTGATTCTTTCAGCTCTCTATAGTTCCTTGCCGTTTAGTTTCTCTTTATTGTTATCCGAATCTACTTCATCACCTTAACCATTGTCAAAATAGCTTGTAATTGTAATAAATAACTCTATCTTCTCGAACCTCGAAATAAGTAATAGCCCCATATGAAGCAATAAAAACGAGATTAATAAATAAATGAATAGAACGATTCGATGACTAGTATTATGCACCGTTCTAGGTTACTCACAACTTTTTACTCACTGCAACATATATTCTTTTCTTTATTGAACATTAGTCAGCAAATATATTTTAAAAACCAATCAAAACTTACGTCTTTCTTATTTCATAATTAAAGCAAAAAAAAGTTCGAAGGCTAAATTCCCTATGACTTTGCTTAGGGAATTAAAGCTAAAAACTGCACCTCCATGCTTCACAAGTTAGATTTGACAGCATTCTTAGGTAGAATATTGGCGCTAATGTTTAAGCGGATAAGGTTTGGTAGATATGAGATCAGGACATTCGCATGCTTGTTATTTATATCAACGATTTTCTGATTCAAATACATCTTTCTTTAATCTCATATAATTTCATGAAATATTGATGTTTTTCTGACTCCCAGTTTTTTGTTTTAATAAATGCTATTATGCATTGTAATAAGAAAAAAAATGCTAAAGATGGTTAGCATAGCAGCACAAGTAAAGAGGATGATTTGCATAATATTTCAAATTTTGAACAATTAATTTCTGGAAATTTCTAGGATGATCACTTGGAAACAATTTTAAATAACTGTTGGGTTTCCTTCGAATTTAAGAATCTTAAATAACAGTTGGGTTCCTTCAATTTAAGAATGCACTTATCAAATGAAATCTATTTATGGGGACCATTTCCGCACATCATCATTAGAAGAATATACAATTTTAGTTCATCCTGTCACTTCACTGAACGAATTTTAAACAAAACAATACTTATAGATCTTCAGAAAAGTGCAAAGAGTAAAGTGAAGTTTCACGTAAGACAGAAGTTTATCGATTGATACTCCTGACTGAATAACACAACACTAATTTGATAATCGAAACTAGTTTCGTTTGAAGATTTTGAGAGTCAATTATTCATAATACTCCAACAGTAATCTGTCATAGGCTGGTCATTTTATCGGATCCGATAGCCATTTATTGATAGAAGATTTCGACGCCTAGACATAGAAGATTTCGACAAACTCAATGGAAACAACCTAGTCATCTGTGAATATTAAATGATTAAATTTTAATTAGATAAACAAATAAGTCATTGTAGATTGAATTATTTATTACTAAATTATACAAATCTAATGATAATCTAACTATTTCTCGAAGTACTCAAAATGTACTCGCATTATGTAATCTTATGCTTTAGGTGATAAATATGAAAATATATAATTCAGGTCAAGAGATCAAAATCTAATTATGACGTCCTGCCGAATAGAACGTGAACTATAACATAAGATCATAATAAAGGTCCTGAACTTGGCTTTTGTATTCTTTCCGCTGTTTAGAATCGGAAGATTCTTTAACGATAATGTACATCTGCATGTATTTTGTTCTCATTTTCGTGCCGATGTATAAAATTTTTAATTGAACAAATTGCCAGAAAAAGATTGTCATGACTCATTGAGGATAATCAGATCAGGAAACTGTTGCATAATGGATGTCGCACTCGACTGGATTCATTCCTTTTCAAATAAATGACTATACGATCGACGTCTCTGCTACGTATTCATCTTTTCTAATCACAGTGCATATAATTTGTATTCCTGTAGGAAGTTTAATACACGTCATATTGGGTTCAGAGTTAAGCTGCAGTAGTATACGTGATCCGTACACGTAATCATCCGTCCCAATAGTTCATAGACTCAATCTGACTGATACCACGGAAAATATACAAGACGTGAGAGGAAATACGAAAAGATAATGAGGATGAAAAAAAACGATATTGGAATCAAGAAAGGCAGACTGATAAAGTTGGTAAGAACTATCCAAATGCACTTGGCGAGAGAAAATAGCGAGAAAAAGAAAATAGCGAGACAACGAGGCAATAGTGCAAAAGATTGTCAAAAATTGTATTTGCACGATGTAAGATACATGTAGTCTCGTTCCGGTGGCAAATGTCAGCTAAGTCTTCCGGTATTCCGCTTTTGCATACGTTTAATAGGTTTTTTAGTATAAGTAGACAAGTTTTGCTATTAACATTACTGTTGTTCTTAATAACTAATATGAAGTTCATACTTGAAATTGATGTATAATATCTGTGTAAACTACTCTGCAGTGAACAATATTATTTACATTTTCAAGAAAAATTTCTGTCTGTATGGACTAAAGAATTCATTCGCTTTTTGATATTCGAATTCGGAGCATTCGTGAGTGAGTATTATTGTTTCATCTTAGGTCAAAATAGAGAATTTCAAATATATGATTCGAAAGTATACCAAAATTTATGTTGCTTTATGCGAACTGTTCGAATTGTAATGATAAATGATGGTGAATTATTTGAGATCATAGACGGGGTCGCAGTGTTGTTCCATTATATTTATTATTTAATATAGGAGATTGCGAAAAAAATGCTACGAGTAAGTTTTCTAATTTTACTTCAAAATTTCGCTATATGGATTCCAGAAGTTTCGAATAAAACGCTAACTAATATTTCTACTTTCTATTCCAAGACATATCTTCCAAAAGTAATAATGGACAGATGCATAACACAGTAAATCATGAATACGAAGAATTTAATATTTGGATTGAAGAACCAATTTAATATTTGGTTGAAGATCTGCTCATTACAATAAAATGGTCATCCTTCAAGATAAGCAGTAGTTAAATACTTGTTGAGTCACTTGTACGACGAAACTGTAGTTAATTTATGCTGCTAACACCTTTTTATGAAAAAAAGGTTTGTTTTGTGTCTTTCAGTAAAAATTTAATGCAACTATTTTCTTAGGGTCCGGCTAATCCAGTTGATTTTGATAAAGAATGGACAGAAGCAAAGAGTACTGTGATATCATTGCTGAATCAAAGGGTATGATTTCCCAAATGTAACTGATAGAGAATTAGTTTCATTCTGTCATACCTTTTTTTATATCATTGGAGAAGCAAAAACTTCAAATCAGTAAAGTTCTGTTTATAGATACAGCAGCTAGTTTATAGATGCAGTAAAGTTTATAGATACATCAGCTTTAATTTTTGTCAGGTTTTTGTCATGTGTATTCGTGATTATGCAACTAGACAGAATGTTCATTTCAAAATATTAATATCTGAGCTACCAGTTAGCTTCAACTTAACGACTTATTGAATGAAAGTGCCGATTTCGAAGGCAAAAAATGAAAAAATTTACTATTGTTTACCAGTTTCCTCAGATTTTCGGTTATTGATGGCATTTAGCTGCATCTAGCTGCTAATTCCAAGCACTGTGCTATGAAAAAGTCCTGTAGAACAGTTTCATGAAAATCCATGATAAAAATCAAGCCGAAATAGCCGAATGGTTATTATGGTTATATTAGTCTTTTATATATTATTTGCCTCTATAATATATAAACTATGTGCTCTCAGCAGATCACTTTCTCACTCTTCAGTCAATCAACACTGTGTCATTTTAATGCAATTAGTGTCTACATATTCAGGGTGTAAGTAAAGTACAGTGGCAGGAATTATTCGCCATCGTTTATCGTATATGTACATGGATTGAAGACGGCGGTGATATGGTTCGCAGAGAATTAGAAGCAGAAGTACATCGTTATATCGTCGCCGCTGAAAGAGTGATCTATTCACATATTATAAAAATTGGGAAGAAAACTACTCGAAATTTTAATTTACATAATATCTATTAATTAAATAACTTCTTTATAATATAAACAGTAAATGAGCGAAACAGTGAATATTTTTCTTGCAGCGTATAATGCAACACGAAGAAGAAAATGCAATTTTAAGGATCTATATCTCAGAGTGGGCAAAATTCTACACACAAACTAAGTATCTTCCAAAGCCTTTTTCCTATATTTCCGAACAAAAAAATTTGATATTGAAACCAGAAAATTCTATGAGAGAAGCCAACTTTGTGGTTTCATCGGTATGTCAGTTTCTTGTGTAGAAGTTAGGTCTCTTACTGTGATCTAAACTAAATTTGACATTAACTTTAGTTGCTTATTCATCTTTGATGGATTTTAATTAACTCGAGAAATCTTGCGAGGAGTTAGTATTTTTCTTTTTGCGGTTTTTTCAAAATCTCCTGTATAGAACAAAAAGGAGTATTAATTTTATTTTTAAATGACAGTACTTTAATAAGGGATGACTGGATTGCTGACTTGTTGGGATTAGTTAGTGACAAAAATAAAAAGTTAAAATTCTGGCCACTAACTGTTCAACATTTTAGCTCAACAATCATTTTCATTATTTTCAATTCATAATCTTCTATGTAAGTAGATGACACTTTTTTTGTTAGATGGTTATAATTTGAAAATGCCATACATGCATGAAAGTTGAATTCAAAAAGCTCCAACTTGCTAAAATAAAACATACGTTAGCTTTAACTTCCCTGTTGTATCTGTTCCATTTAGTTATATATCGCGGTAACAAAGCAAATCTTGTGATACTTGAATATCATTAATTTTTTTATTTCATATTATGCTGAATGATTGGGGTAAAACGATTTTCGCGACTATAAAGCATAAGCTGCAAAGTGCGGCAATGCGTCTAGTGGAATTGGAACGAAATGGTGAAGCTTTCGATCCTCAACTCGTTATTGGTGTTCGACAATCATACGGTGATCATACTATTTTATCTCTTTTTATTTGAAAATAATTTTTCGTAGTCATCTCTTTCAAAGCAATTGTACCTATAAGTTATCGATGATTATTGCATTATGTTATAGGTTGAATACAATTTCAGTATCATTGAACCTTAGTACTGAAGATAGTCTGGCAGTGTACAAGGATAATTTTGAACGAGCTTACGTCGATGATACAGAGAGATTTTATAAGTTTCGTGCTCCTCAGGTATTATCTTTTCATTTTTTAGAATTTCGCTATTTTTAAAGAGTACAAATTAATAAAACTGAAATAAGGAATGACTGGATTGATAACTCTTTTCACCAGTAAAGGTTTTGGCTTCGGAAGGTGTACAAAGTTATATGATGTATGCTGATACAAAACTGGTCGAAGAAGAAGCTCGTGGAAGGCGTTATTTGGAAAACACGGCAGATTCTGTAAAGAAGGTTTGCGATCTGCATGCGGCTATTCATTCTTTTCTTTGTTTGTTTAATTGAATAAATTTTATTTTTGATTTTTTATCAAAAAAATCAAAAATCTTGTCTTTTAAACATTTTCGAATCATGTTGGCTACTTAGTTGGTAGAACGATGCGTTAAAGTGCTTGTTGTTCAATTTCAAGAGCAAATTCTAGCTGAATGTCCGACGCTTATCAGTGAACGACAAATTGAGAGTAAGGTTTACTGTTATATTGAGATATCTAAGGTTATGCTGTAAAGAAGGCTTGCAATCCTCATTCTTTCCTTTGTTAAGTTGAATGAATTTTATTCTTAAGTTTTTATGTCTTTAGTACGAATCGATTCATACAGTGATCTTAATTCGAGTTTGATGGAATATTATAGTTTACAGAATGTAGTTTCATTCATCTTATTTCTTACTAGACATTGGAGAATTTTTTTCTTTTTTTTTGTTCGATATCTCTAAGTTTATCTGCTTGGCTTACTGCTGTCCACCTATCTTTTAATTCACACTTGGACATCCGAACTTGTTTTAAAATGCTTTATTTATTCGATATTGATCCACGGATTTTCTTTCAAGAGTTGAGAATATTGTATCGGTTAATAAATCGAACATCAGATGGTATTGACACTGTCCTGAAGTTTCTGGATATATTTATCAGAACTGAAGCTCTGAACGACATGAGAGCAAATGCAAACACTATAACTACAGTTTGTTTTCTGATAATTCGTTCTTTATGTTATTAAAGTTTTGAGGGATTATAATTTTAAATTATATATTCATGGGAAATTTTGTATTTTCTCAAATTTACAAGAATTTACAACTTTCCTTTATTTCAGGATCCTGAAAAATATGTGGAACAGTTGTTAACGATGTTTTCGAAATTTAGCCTCTTTGTTGCAGACGCATTTTATGGCGATGCACGTTTTTTGACGACACGAGATAAGGCTTTTCAGGATGTTGTGAACGATACTTGCATTTTTAAAATGGAAATTACGAGTTCTAAAGGAAAATGGTCTGTTTTTTCTCCTTTTATGGAAGACTTTTGTTATTTTCGTCTTTGCAGACATGTTAAACAATTTATTCAAGCTTGCAAATCGAAACTATTTCAATATTTCGATTTTTCTACCATACTTGCATCATCTTAGTATTCTCTAATAATTTTGGAAGACCCAATAATTTTATGAATTGTCAACTTGTTCCCTCTCTTTCATGCTTTTTCATTATACAATTCCAGTCTAAGAATTTGAATATTTATTGTTTCATTGCTGTCATTTTTTCTTTTGTTTCAGTTATTATCTGTGAAGTAGTTTTACACTTTTTAATTTTTAAGAATTCTGAAAATTTATTCGTAATTTTTTTTTAGTTCTGATCGGATACAAGCAGAATCGAGATGCCCTGAATTACTTGCGAATTTCACAGATCTCATTTTGAGGAAAACCAGTCTTTCAAAACGTCTGTCTTCTGAAGAAATTGATGCTAAATTAAATGATGTGGTATTATTTCTTTGTTACTTTTTCCCAAGAGGAAAATCTCAAATTATTTTCGTTTGCTGTAAATTGATTAATCCCTTTCCAGCTGTTAATATTGAAATATGTGCAAAATAAGGATGTTTTTATGCGATTTTACAAAACGCATCTTACTCGGCGATTAATACTTGAATTAAGTGCGGATCAGGAAAAAGAGGAACAGATGATTACAAGGTTCTGCTATTTAAATCTCAGTCGCAAATATCTAATTTTTATGTGCACTGTGCATTACTTCTAAAACTTGTCATTTTTTTGATTAGGCATGATCATTAATGTTGTCTAACACATGAAAAAGAAGCAAAATTATTTTCCTGAGCAGTGATTGATAGTGTTAGTTAAATTAATAAATTGATGAATAACATCTAAATGCTTGCTACAGAATGAGAGAAGTTGGAATGCCGGCCGATTTTGTAACAAAATTATTCCGCATGCTACAAGATATTGAAGTGAATAAGGATTTGAATAGCATCTTCAAAAGTTCGATTGCATCAAATAACAATTGCATTGCGGGTATTAATTTTTGATTGTTTTTCACTGTCGATATATTTTACTTGATTTATATAAGATTTAGTTTTTTAATGATAGCTACAACACAATTCGTGCTGTGATAGGCATAAAAAAAATTCTCTCCCTGTTCAGAAATATATAACAGCGTATGTTGAAATGTAGAATGAAGTTTGAAATTTCTGAGAAATCGTTCTTCACCTAGTTGACCGATTAGTCAAGTTTATTGTTCGTTCCAATCAATTCTAATTTTAGAAGCTTTTAAATTTGTAAATGTAGATTCAATCTCAATTAAAATTTTGAATGCTGGCGCGTGGTCACGTGGTGCAGCTGATCGTACGCAAGTTCAGATGCCTCGTGAGTTGGAAGATTTTATTCCTGAAGTGGAGGATTTCTATCGCAAACAACATTCAGGACGGAAATTGCAATGGCATCATCATTGGTCACATGGAACGGTATTTTATTTATTAGTTTCTTGGGTTTTCAAGTATAACTAATGATACATTTTAAAAATACCAACTTCGACTTTTTAAAGGTAATTTTTACGAATAAGATGGGAAAGTTTGATTTGGACGTCACTACTTTGCAACTTTCCGTGCTGTATTGTTGGAATGACCGTCCTCATGAGCAGCTTTCTTTCGAATGTCTGCGCACTGCTACTCAGCTGTCTGCTCCGGAACTTATGAGGACATTATATGTAAGTCTTTCGTGAAAAAAATGTGATTTACGTTTATGCATAATACATATGAAATCTTGTTACTGGAACCAAATGTTATTGATTTATCCTGAATCAATTCACTTGAAAGTACTTTGCAGTCTCTTGTGGCTTTCCCGAAAATGCGACATCAAGTGCTTTGTACAAATTGCTCAACTTTGAACTCACGTGATTTTAATGATTCAACATTATTTTGGATTAACCAACAATTTACAGTCATTAAAGTAGGTATCAATTATATATTGGTAGTTAAGTGTTTGAGAAGAAACCTAGAAGCTCATTCTTCTGGGTATGATTGGTGTGAAAATTACTTTGTCTCTTATTGTTGGAACAATAGAGGTTGAATATTCTTTCGCGCTTGATTCGAAATCGAAATGGGTTAGTTTTATATTCATTTCCATTTTTTTATAAATTTATCATCTTCCATCGAAATTATTTGGGACTTCAATGTTATATAGTTTGTTGTATTTCACTACTCAATATTTATAACCAATTCAGACGCTTCTATCTTCCTCTACTTCCTCCACCATTATGATGAGCTATATGCCTAGTTTTTATCATACATTTCTGTTTATATTATAATATTTTATTCCTCATTTTACATAATTTTTGTGAAAAAAAAAGAAGAGATGAAAGAATGTAATTTGCAGAATGGTAGGGAGCAGAACCGTGGTCGAATCAATTTAATTGGTCGTTTGCAATTGTCAATGAAAACAAATGTACAAGAAGAGCATGACGACATCATTGCCTTACGTATTTTACGTGTGCAAGAAGCCATCGTTAAAGTAGGTTTGAAAATGTTTTATAAAATATTATGTTGATGGCTCTTCGTTGTATTTGCGTATATTTTGCTGTACAATTTTTTTAATATGATTTAGTTTTTACGAAGCTCCAATGTGTTTATTTGATTTTATTGTCACGAAAGTTGTCATTGTTGTCATGTTTTCCAATAGGTTATGAAAGTTCGTAAGCGTTGTCAAAGTGCGCAACTACAAACCGAATTGATTCAATTATTGAAGCATATGTTTTTGCCGCCGAAAAAAATGATAAAAGAACAGGTGATTGCTTAGAATTCCCTTATTACAATTCAGTAGCAGCAATCTTCATTTATAAAAAAATTAAAAAGTATGATGATTGCCACGATTCATGTCGATTATAAAAGACATTTTCAGATAGAGTGGTTGATCGAAAATGGCTTCATTGCCCGCGATTCAAATGATTTAAATGTTTTCTTGTATGTAACATGATTGTAACACTGTTTAGTTCATCAGCAGGCTGTGTGTTTTATTTATTGAGAGTTAAAATGTGGTTACTTAATGTAATGTACAGTAGACACTTTTGTTGATGCTGCTGTGGAAATATTATTGCCTTGTTTATAGATTAGGGATGTTTATAATTTCTACAGTCTTATACAGTCATAAAATTTTTGTCAGAATCGAAGTCTTTTCCATTTGCTTCTTCCGTCTTATAATTTACTATGTTGCCTTCAATAGAATAAAACTTATTTGAAGTGTAATTTGTGCTCAATACTGGTTGTAACGGGTAGATTTGTTAGTTTCTTTTTTCTTTATTGTCTTTTTTTACACGAGAATAGAAGCTGTTTTGGATTATGAATTTCTTCGACTGGTGTACAGACTGTGAAGCCGCGGAGATTTGTATTGATCTTTGCATTCCTCTTGCTATAGTTCTCCCCTTTACCAGTTTCTTTGACTTCCGAAGTCATGATTTGCTCGATATTTTAGTAATGTGAGAAAGTTGGATATTAATGTATTTTTTTACAAAGCAAACTGCCCAACAATTAAGTGGCCGAGATTGTGTATTCAAAATTTACTTGTTTTTTGGAATAAATATACATATATGTTTCACAATGAACATATTTGAAGAATAGTTAAGGGATGGTTTCTCAAGGAAGGAATATATAATAAATAGTAGATTAAACTACTGTAATATTTTCTCTTGAAATACTGCATTGGATAATCTGGACAGATTGGAATATAATCATTTGGTGAGTGCGAACGCTGTAATCATTTGAATCACTTGCTTTTACTTGTGGTTTTCTGTTAAATGAGCCATTAGTTGCATCATTCTCTTAGTTAAATCTGCAAATCACGGCTTTTTAATTGCATTTGAGTCTTATATATTCCGTTATCCTTCAGTTGCTTCCTTTATTATCTTTAATTTTATCTGAAAGTTATATCTAGTACTGATCCTTTTTGCATTTATTAAAGCTGTTAGTTTGTTTTTTTCTTCTCGTATCGATGAAAAATATGCATCAAGCTTTTTGTGAATAAAAGATTGATGAAAATGTCTTGTATGGCACAAAAAGGAGAAAAAATTTTGATTTTATTTCAATAAAATTATTGAGGAATTTATTAATTATATTGAGGAACTTATTTTCTCCTTTATTTATTTACTCTTTTTTTGTGTTTTTAAATTTAGCAGAAAATCCAGTTTGAGAAGAATTTTTTTTTTAATATTATATAATGTAGTGTGTCCTATTGACTCATACGGAACAAAAATGAATTAAAATAGATGAAAGAAGTGATGGTAGCATAGCAGCACAACTGGTATCATTACAGTTTATCTGTGCTCAATTGTAATTGTCATTGCTATTGCTATAGGTGCCATTGTTAATGCTTCTAATGTGATGAGTGCCGTCGATCATTAGAATGCTTCAGCGATTGAGGAAGGGAAACCCGAGGATTTGGGTAAATTATCTGCATCGTGCGCAGATAATTTACTGCATCATTCTTTCATCTGCCCTCTCCTCCACTTAGTTTTCGCTGAAAAGTTTTCTAAGTAAGTTTTTAAAGTTAAGGTCAATATTTTAGCAGTTTTATTTGAAAAGAATTTGTAAATTAAACTTCTTGCCCCATCACTTATCACCATTAAAGTGTTTATATATTTTATTTCTTAGATCTGTAATTTTTTGACGTTCTAGAGGATTGATTACTCAATACACTTTGATACTTTGCAGTCGATAAACAGTTCCATTTGGATTATCTATTTTTTTAAATTATGGATGTTTTTCTTCTAAAATTTTTATACCATAGTTATAATTTATTTTTGTTTTGTGGTAACAAAAAAAGCTTCAGTTTTTCCTATTTATTATTTACTTGCCGTATTTGGTACCATTTAAAATCATTTGAAATTTATCATGATTTTCACTTTCTTTTCATTATCAGTTAATAGGGAAATATCGGACAAAAGAGTTATGAAATTGTAATTCTAAATGGAGGGCAAAATCCGTAAAAATGCATGTTGACGACATAAAAGAATTGAGAAAGGGATGAAGGAGAGCAACTCAGTTTTATTCTCTGACGATTTCTGATTTCAGAGATCTTGATTTTGGATTTAACAGTTCAGTTGTAAACAGATTGTTCAAACATTTGGCTGGTTACTAGCTTGGATAGTTTCTTACAAATTAGCTAATGGTTTGTTTGCAGCTGTTTCAAACGCTATATAATTTTATGTACTTCCATGTGAGGATTCCTACAAGATTTTGTGAAGCAGTCTGATTCATTTGATTTGATAATTCGCTAATTATTGCAGATAAAGAGGAGCAAAAAGGAACTATTTGACTTAAATAAAGTTATTCAACAAAAACCTTAAAAAAATTCAACGTAATATTTCCACGAAGGTAAGAAATCTAAGTAGATAATAAATGAATGAAGTTCCACATTAACAAGTAAAACTGAATCATTGTTAATATCGATCATAGGTTGTTGTAGTTTTACTGAATTACAAAACATTTTACTTTAATGAATATCTGCTTATACCATTAAATATTTTATCTTCCTTTATGCATATCTTATCTACCTTACTTTTTGGACACAACTTTTGAGTCCGCATGTTAATTGTAATCTTGTTAATTTCTTAACTTTACAAAGATATATCATCTTTAACAGTTTACATAAATTCGCTAATTCTTTACGCAAATTGTTTGATCACTCCGGTAATAATTTTCATTTCATCCTAATTCATTTTCTGAGAGATAAGTAATAGCAAAAAGCTGGTAGAAAGTGAATTAGTATGAAACTAAAAATCATGCAGTACAGGAGCAATGGTCAGCTTAACAATATTTCAAAAAACTTTATAATTTTGTATTTCTCCATTATCATTTTAATTTAATCGAAATTTCTTGAAAAATCCTATCGAATTTCATCTATTCCCTTATATTTAGACTGTATATTAAAACTATGAATCAAACATTAATGAAAGCGACCTTTGAAGTTTAATTAAAAAATTGGCGGTGCTTTCATCTTATAAATTTTAAGACCATAAAAAAAAAAAACAAGATGTGAAGTTTAAATATATTATTTTTATCCATGAATTCACTTTTTCTACATGCAAATTGATCAGGACATCTTTTGCTTCTCTAACAATTCACATTTGATGTTGTTTAGGGATGCTGCGCTTCTGTCTTATTTCTGACTACTTTGCGCTTTCTATTCAAGTTGGTTTCCTTTATATATGATATAATCTTAGAACACAAAATAACTTTCTTTATATTTTGCATTTGAAACCATTTAGACTATTTTAAATTAATTCCTTAATCGTTCTTTTCTCTTTTCTCTGCTCAACTCTTACTCCACTTATTCTTCATAAAATGGCAAGCTTAAGCTTTGGGTTAAAAGAATAATTTGATGCGAAGTGATGATTAGTTGTGAAACGAGAACTTCTAGCTTCTACAAATTTGCAAATTCCGCGAAATATTTCAACATTTCAAGCAACAGTGCTAATGTAGCTTTAATTTGCAAACATATGTTGATATTCGACCGCCTACGTACCAAAATAAACCCACACAGATACCCACAAACACCAATTTGTCTCACACAGCTGTTTCGCCGTCATAAAGGATGCTTCTTTAAAAATTTTTTGGCGAAAGGAAGTTTGCAAACTTTCCATTACTTCAGCTAGATATTTGTGAAAGTTACATCATAAGATGCTACTATAAGTTGAATTTTAAACTGAGATTTCAAAATTTATTTGAATTCACTCATCCTTCTATCCTCTTCTTCTTCTCCAAATCTCACATGTTACGCTTCTTTATTCTTCTCAATTTCATGGATTGTTTTTGATTTGTTTTATTTCATTTGTTATATTTACACTTATTCCTCTAACGCACTTCTATTTATTTCAAAATGTGCCTAGAGAAACTACACATTCATATGTAAAAGAAAGGTAAATTAGGACATCTCTAGCTATCCATTTTATCATTTTCATCCAAACAAAATTTAGAAGGACTTTTTAAATTTAAAATTTCTAGATTTTAAAGGTCTAATACACAAAAAGATACATTGTTGCTTGCACTGATTATCGATTAGTTCCTTGGCTCTCAAACGCTTCGAGATTAGATGAATCATTTCCCTGATAATATGATAAAGTTTAGCTATTTAAATGTCTGCTTATAATAGCACACTTTTATTAAACATTTCTCTTAAAATTGTATTTGATTTTTTAATTACTAACTGTATTTTATGCACTTATTCTACGCTTATGTATGGTCCCTTTCAATTTTCTCTCAAATATACTAATTTTGACTCTGTCATATGTTCGAAAAAAGGTCATATCGATACCAATTTCGTCATACAATTTAGAATCAATTGCTATTACTAATGACACTCACTGCCAATTCCAAGATATTCGCTAGTTTTTGCAACATTTTTCTTCAGTAATTTTAGCGTCCCTTACAAAATCTTCCAGGTTGCTGATTTCGTTTCATAGAAAAGATTATTTTTTTTTTTTTTTTTCATATATATAGAAATAGCTGTGACAAACCATTATGCGACATCTGACCGACCAATGGCACAAGTGGATTTGACTTCAAGTACTTCAAAGTACATATTTTCTCTCATATGATCCAAACAGTGGTATCTCTGCATCAACTTAAGCAGTTACTTATATCACATCCAAGCGTATCATATATTGTGTCTTAAAATGACATCTTGTAAATTCAAAGGGTACATAAACATCAAACTGGAAAATCCAAAAAGCATAACAAATCATCAGTAGATTTACCACCATCCTTTAAACTGGTCATTTTGACGGCTTATCACTTCCAAAAAAAATGGTTTTTTGTGATTTTTTTGAAAACGGAGCTGCTGCACATATAAATTTTAGAGTAATAGGCAATCTGTACTTTTCATCCCCATATCATCACGAAATTATACCACAGCCTTTGGAAACAACCGAAAAGTTCATTCAGTGTTTATGTTTATGGATAATTTACATATTTGATTCAGTCCTATTCAGACAGCACTGCACAGATAGTCCCAACATGTATTCCTAAAGTCTATGCGAGTCAGACGTTAGGGACAGCAACGAATTCTAATAAAGTTTTTGTATTCTACCGTTTATGATAAAATAAATTGCTTAATTAATTGCTATCTGAAGTTATATTTCGGTATACAATTTCAATACAAAACATTTATGGTGGTATGTTTTGTGCGTGAAATATTTTTTTTAGGGTGAAACATATTATTGGATCAAATATTTATTAAATAAAATGGAACGAGTGTAAACCACTTTGAAATAAAATTTAATGTCTCAAAAAGGTTGTAAATCAAAACAATCGTTAAGTTTCAGAAAAAGTTTAAGCCTCTTTTTTCAGCCAAAGTGATCATTTCTTTAGAAGCATTGTCACGTTTAGCCATTTAATAATTAATTATAAGTCATACCTTATCGCTATCAATTCTATCTCATTGTTGCTATATTTTTGTTGATGTTTTTTCAACAAAATTTCATATTGCAAACCACATGAAACTATTGATTGTAAATAAAAATTCCTGTAATCTTGAAAATTTGAACATAGAAACAGTATTTAGAACATAGAAATACATATAATTAAAGACATTTTAAAATGAGCGTCTGTTGATTTTTTAAATCAAATTTCGAATGAAACGTTATTGTGTATCAATATCTGGACTTAAATTTCAACATTCATTTTGTTATTATTGATAAATTTCAACTATTGCAGGAAATGTGAGAATTATGAGAACATATATTGTACTCATTTTCATTGTTGAGAGAATTTTTTGCAATAACACCAGACAGAGACTTATTACGTTGTTGAGAACTGATCAAAAATTTCATGATCAATGGGTACATCTAATCGAATTACAAGTATGAATTAATTAATTTTGGATTAGAAGAATGATATTTCAGTTATAATTAGTTATCATGTTGACAGAGATGACGATTACGGCGACAATGATATTAATGTAACGGTAGTAATAGTCATGATAATAAAAAAGATCACCACAATAAAAATTCCAATAAAGCACCACAATTACCATAAGTAAATGACAGTATCATGGAACTGATTAAAGGTAATTTTTAATTGTTGAGATCAATCATTCTCATATCAAAAGGATTTAATTTAGCATCGACAAGTACATGGACAAAATATGGGTAGTGCACTGGAAGAAATAACAGATTTGATGTTGAACTGTATGCCTAAATTAGATCCTAAATTGGATCACATAGATTATGTGTGTCCGACTGATATACAATTGTACGCCGAATTGGGTCAGCTAACACGATATTGTAATGACAGTATCATGGAACTGATTAAAGGTAATCTTAATGATGTCTTCATTTAGCTTGAACTTGAGGTGACTAATTAATAATCAATTAATAACTAGTAGTTGGAACAATTTTCATTAAAATTTAAAGTAATCAAGTTGATTGGACAGTCATAAATCATTATTTTTCGTTTAGACTGAGAAGTTGTAAACTTTGTCAGATGGTCCTTTGCAATAAATTTGACCGATTTCAGGTAGAGCGGATTCATGTCAGCATGCCAGTTACACCAGTTCATTTCCATCAATTGTAAAATTTTTGATGAAATTCGTTCGAAATCTAACAGTTATTGAAACATCAAATGCGACGAAGCTTGGAAATCAAACGCAATATTTAGTGGAACAATTCATGGAACACAGAAGTTGGCGAAATAAGTGGAAGTTGATTGTCATAATGCCAAACATGGAGGTTACATTTTTCATATTGGCTTAGAACTCTCTATTTAGACAATTAAATGAAATGCATGCAACCTGCTATTCTCTGTAAAATCATTTCGACTCTCTTTGCAAAGTTAATCACTGCGTTGTTGTACTTCAATAGTTACAACTCACTCGTAAATTTCCCACAATTCTTTATAGGATGGCGAATTGCGGGAGCCTGAGCAATCTGCAGTTGAAGTAATGAAGTCAATTAAACTATTATATGAAGTGATACCACAACGGACGATTTTAATTGTGGTACGAAGTTCCACTCTACAACTATGGCAAGATGCATCTAATGCGCATCGTGCATGTCAAACATTGCTGGAACCGTGGAAGCTTTATAAAAACCTGAATCCGGTTTCCATTTGGGATCAAGTGAGTTGATTAAATTATTTTATAAGTGAGTAATGACAAATATAAGCTGAAAAATAGTTTGGTTTCTTTTGAAATAATAAAAAAAATAACAACAACTGTCTTTTGAAATATTGAATTGTTTTGTTTTTATTTCATTCATGGATAAATTGAAAATCACTGGCCGTTAAATCCTTAACTTTCAATATATTTGTCTGACAAATTTATCGCTTACGACAAAATTTCTACTTGAGGATTGGAATAGTATAAAGAACTTTCATTATATTATGCAAACTTATTTAAGGTAGAAAAAATTTGCGGATTACATTTTCAAAGTTCATTATTTACTGTACAGATTTTACCGCTCTTGAAAGATGCCTCATTACCTTTCTTATCTGGCTCGAGTCAGTAAGTTTCGCTGCATTATTTGCTCAACTAATTAATTGATTGAGCCAGTCACCTTTTTTAACTTCTTACAGAACATCTTTTAATTATCACTGCTTTGTTGTAGCGCTGACCCATAAAGGTGTATGTTTAAATGAAACGAATAACACGAGTCAAATAACATTGATTTTGTGTGATAATTAATCTGATAATAAAACGAATTACTGAAATGCAGGATAGACTTATCCTTGCTTGGCCATGACTGTGTACATTTATCACCACGTGGTTTATCTCTCCTTCACATAGCAGTATGGAATGCGATATTAACGAGACTACCTGATCGATCGCAAACATTCAATTTCTCTCTGGAACGACCCCTTTGCGTTGATCCACAGTGTCCATTCATTCGTACTACTAAAAATAGTGCTTTCTGTATTTGGAATCATCAAAAAGTTAGTACAAAAATTTTTACTACTTTAAATCTTGTGATTATTTTTAAAAAAATTCCGAGTCCTGATAAATAATTTAGTTAACCTTTTAGCTTTTAGAAATGCTTCGCTTTGCTATCTTTAATGGAATTTTCCATCCGAAAAAATCCAAAATTGAATTCCTAATTTGGGTTGGACAAATCAGAAGAATCTATTTTCAGATAAATGAACATGGTCGTCGTTCAGAGCAACTGATTGCGATCAGTATATTAATCATAGCGACAATATTATTTATTATAATTCTTGGTATCATGTGTTGCTTTAGAAGATATGATAATAAAGTTAATGAAGTAGCAGAAAATCTTTCCAAAAAGCCACCGGTAGGAGTTGACTGGACCTCATGGAAATATATAGATGAGGACAGCAGTGTATCTTATAAATCCTAGAACTTACAATGTTGCGTTAAGGAAAGTACTAACTTCCCTAAAATTATGAAGTTTCTGTTTGCCTTACAGAAATAGTTATTCCAGTATTCCTCGGGAATTGTTTCTAAATTACTGTTAGCTTCATTTGCTTTTTTTTAAGGAGTCTCAAATAGTGTTTAGTTATGCGATGTCGTTTATTTATTCAATTTTTATGAATCCCCTGAAAATTGCTCAATTTAACTGTATGATTATTTCCGACTAATTCTCGTCATTCCGTTAAAATTAGGTTTTTTGTTCATATTATTCTTTTCAAGTAATTATGCAGTAAAAATAAAATCCCTTGAATGTTTTTTTAGCTTTTTCCCGGAATTAAATCCGGGAAATCTACCATCTTTCTTTCTTGTGCGTCATTGTATTGTGATTTGTTTCTAGGAAATTTTAAAGTACTGCCTTATTATTATTGTCTTGTACAATTTTGGGAAATTCCTGAATAAATTTGGAATGCCTTATGTCCGCTATAACATCATTTTGAACATCGTCGATCATTATCAAAATCGTCAAGCTTCTCTGTAATCAATTGGATTGTACTAAAATTCATTTGAAACATAAACTTCTGAGGATTATCGTTGTCCAACTAGACCAAAAATGTAGTATTGTACCACGTTACCTATGTTTCTGATATTTTTGTGCCACATAATTTAAGGTCAAGTGAACAAGCATTAATTTAAAGAGCATTTATCTTATCATTCCATAACAGAGCTGCAATCAAATTTCACTTGTCAATTTATGATGCTTGGCAAGGGGGTATAGCTCAGTGGCAGAGCATTCGACTGCAGATCGAGAGGTCCCCGGTTCAAATCCGGGTGCCCCCTTTTTCTATCACAGTATCACTGCACTATCTGTAAGAATCCGAGGCCGTTTTGAGGTGGAAATAAATAACAACCAGTATGAATAATCAACTTTCAGGATATTTGTAGCAATCAAAATATATGAAGCGGAATGAAAAATAAATACGGTGAAGCTGCACTGGAGTAAATCCCTCTTCTCGGACATAGCAGGATTCGGGGAATTCGCTACCCTACTTTTCTTGCCTTATATTCCATGAGATCATTGAGAAATGAACAAACGACAACAGACATCAAAGATCGAAAGAATAAAGAAACGACTGAAATGATAACCTACTACAACAGTTATGAGTCACTAAATCCATTTTTATCCATAATGCGATGAAAAACGCTGACTACCATTCAGATTCAAAATCATAGCACTAGTTTTGGAACTTAAGCCCAAGCACAAATGCAGTTGTTTAGCAACTATTATTATACACTTTTATAATAAATACTGAGTTTTAACCTCAAACAATTCTGGTCCATCACATATTCTTAACAGTAATCTAGAACTTAGCCTTAATATCAAATGACTAATTCATTACTGTCCCTAACATTCTATTATCAATATTATAGTGATTTCGCAACACTGTTCTTTGGAAGGTTTGAGAATTTTGGATTGGTAAACCATATTTTAGTAAGAAAATTCGAACTGCTACTTAAACGAGACTTGCTGTGCTTCACTTATGTTGCGAGTTCCATGTGAAAAAGAAAATCCAAACGGGTATATCTTTGCCAGTTTTTAGTAGGGATATTTTGCAAGCGATAAATGCATGCAATATCATTACATTGCACATTAATTTACTCAATGTATCAAATACAAACAATCGAGTAATAAATGTCTTTGTTCTTGGAGCAGAACTTTTCATGATATTTCGTCCAGCGTGTGCTGATACTTTATTCTGCCCTTTTGTATATACGTTTTGCAACCACACCTTCGGAGTCACAAACCTAAAGAAATCTTCTATTACAATAATCATTTATTTTCATAAATATGCTCTAGTTTTCATAACTATTATTTTTTTTCATCGTTAGCTCATTCTCGCTCTTTTAAAAAAGTGTTGAATTATGTATTTCATTAATTTGCTCATTAATTACTACTTGTTTAAGTTCAGATTTTTACTGGTGGAAACCAATAAATATAATAAAAATAACATGATAGCAACAACTATAAACCACAACACTATGTGAAAGCGATTCGAATTTTCGATTATTTTTTTGAAATCCCAAAAAAAAAAAAGTATCTTTTTTATTCTCATAAAATGACGTCTGAAACGATAAGCTTCCATATTAAAATCGGTTAGCTAATTACAAAAAATGATTACCACAGTTAGACTTACAATAACTAATTGACCTTGCTCGTCGATGTAACGTTCAAACCTAGTACTCTTATCGCTTGCCTTTATGGCATTTTCGAGTTGAACTAATACGTCTCCTTCCAGAAAGAATTTACTCTGAAACGTTACTGTAGTAAGAAATCAATACAAAAAAAAAAAAGGAAGAAAAAATACTAATTTGTATAAGACTGGATGAAAACACTCTGGTCCTTTTTTAATCTGATAATTTGTAATAAATTCACTTGTTAATTTCTGTATCCTTTAATTTTACCCAACCTATTTTAGGGGTTTATTTTGAAATTTTACGGTCATATAATCGTAATTAATTATTCCAACTCCCAATCACTGTTTAAAAAAATATATTCATAACTATTTCTAGTTCTGAAATTTACAGAATCTACCGCCGGAATATTCTTAATTAATTCCTCCAACTTTCAATCATTGTTTAAAAATAAAATCTATAACAGGCTCTATTTCATGTTTTTATTAGCCAGCGTAAGCTTTAAAAGACTTTTTTTGAGCGATAATTATGTTTGACTACATCATGACAATGGACAGTTAGAGCAGTCACATAGGAAAGGAATCCTATAGAAAAAGAATCCTATACGTTAAGTCAAATAAGTTGAATCTTCCATATTTGAAATTCTAATATCATTTTTAAGAGATCCCTTAATTTTTCGTGGGCAACCAGAATACAATAACACGAAGAAAATTCATTTTCTTTTAAAGGTTTTTTTTTAAAAATCAAACAAACATTTATTAAATCGGAATATCGAAATAATAAATAAACGAAGACCAGGTAAGCAACTACCTTTACTTGTCGTCCATCGGGTGTTGTTTCATCAAATTCTTCATCCAGTTCAAATTCCCAAACATGTTTTTTGAAACGTGATTCGCTAACAATCTTCCATTTATTACCATTCATGGAAAAAGTCAGTGTCGGTTTCAGATTTTTTGCTATACCTCGCATTATTAAACCAACACCTACAAAAAAAAGGGAGCTGATCATTGCTAGTGTGAAAAAACAGTATAGACCGGGCAAATATCTGGGAAATACTTGGAATATTCTTTATGTGAATTTAAAATTATTTTAATGATTCAGAGATATTCAACAATAAATAGAAGAAAATTTCAGATATTTCGATTTTATCTGGTAAACAGTTTATTGTTTTGAGAACTTCCATACCTTCATTTGAAAAAGTAATTATAATGTGCAATAGGGTGAAAGTTTTCATTTTATGAAAGAAAAGTAAGAAACTTTAAAGTCTAAACAAGATAAAGCAAATAAAGTGAATGCTAAATTGAAGCGCATAAACTGTTTTTGACTTCACCAAACAATTATAACATGCTCAATTTCCATCAACAAATATACCAATTTGTTTCAGGTAAGCATCGAAATTTTCCGAGTCAGCAAACGTCCAAGTACCAGCAAATTTCTCAGCAACGGTCATTTGTAGCAAAGCGAATCAGCACTTTCGTTAGTAATCAAAATCTGTAAATCTGTAATACTAACTGACATGCAAAAAACAACCAACACACAGCCGAAAAAATGTTCGCTGAAAGATTCCAAATTTGATTATTTACAACAGATAAAGAATACTTGTAGAAACAGATCTGCCTTTACTTACTAAATTGTTATCTGTCACAAATAATCAGTTATAGATTTTGAGGGCAGGTTTGTCTCTTTAAAAACGGAACTTGATGAGAATCGATAAACAAAATCTAGTAACTGAGCAGTGATCATTGTCAAAGTAGTAAACGAGTACAATACTTACAGATGATATTATCGATTCGTTTTCAAATTACTGATTATTATTGCTGGTCAGTTGCTTACATAGCTCGGTGATATCTTATGTAGCAAACATCTAACAATATCTAAATGTATGAAAATTAAAGAGTGGGTAACACTGGCCATTCAATCAAGTATTTATGAATTCAATTAATGTTAACATTTCATGACAAATACTGGTGACATAGTATTATTATACACAGCATGAAAAGAATGAGGCGATTGTTATCAGTAAAAGAAGGTAGAACAATATATCAAAGTAAAATTTTATTTGACAGGATGGAGACAACGCTTGCTGAATTTGCGGAAGGTTCTTTGCTAGACAAACCTCAGATAGGACTGTCAACCAAATGGTAGCTGAAAATAACATAACTGGAACTCAATTATCGAAGCTAAAAAATGACGTAATAGAAATGAAGACAGGATAAAATCGGAAGAGGATGTGTGCGTAATTTGGACACATGATGATATTTGAAAATCAATAGAGCAGAAAGTAGCAGGACGAATCATGACCGAATCAACAATCAATGCGGAAAGAACAGAGTGTCGTCTGCTCATAGTTTTGCTAATTGGAGAGGTTAAGGGTGAGAAATTGTTAATGAGCGGTACTGGGCTGACTTGATGACAATCATTTCTTAGTCGAATCTTGTAGATTTAAGAAAATTAGATGATAGGTCAAACAGACAACAAATATGCCGAGATATAGGTGATAAACATGAATGACAAGTAAATGAGCAAACATAACAGAAAGTTCTCATGCCTTTTATAAATCGAAGGCAGGGAATTATTGAACGATCTCCATTGGCCTTTGATTTTTCTAGTCAGTCAATACTTCCGATTACAGGAAAGCTTGTTGAACATTGAAGTTACAATATCTGAATTCCACCATTTTTACCTTCAGTTTAATTATCTAATTGTTTTTTACTTCATTGTTCCAGTGACTTGACTTTTCCTCTAATCAAATCCCCTTCTAAAATATTAAACTGCGGCTAAAAGGCCATAATGAGAATACTTGTTTCTTTTTATTTTACTTTTTTTTCCTTTTTCCTAACAAGTATATCCAAATGAAGACATAATGTTTAGGTTAACATAAAGCTAGAAATCTGTCATCAGACTCATCTAGTAGTCGAAATAACTCGCCGAAACTCTTAGACTATTCGGAACAGTAATGGAACCTTTGAATCACACTAGTGTCCCAAATAGCTTGCGAATGAGAATATTACATTACTAATGCGCTACGCTACTGGTACATCATTCTCATTATTAGACATTTATATTAATTACCATCCAATCAAGCACTCCTAGTAATTATTAAACACAAGGGGTTTAAAACGCACTACAAAATTATGGCTTTTGAGAGTGAAGACGACGGTGCAACGAAAATAACAACCGACCCTTAATAAGGAACTGATAGCAGTCATCCGTTAATCACTGAATCATGCAAACATTACAATTTACTGTCTCTTCTTAAATCCATTCTTTCTAGCACAATAGCAAATTTATTCCATATATTAAATGCGATATATTAACACGGCGAAAACATCTTATAAATGTACCCCATCCTCATTTTTTTTTTCAGATCTTTTTAAACATCCTACATAAAATTTTCAATATTTCTACAAAGAAATGGTCACAATTTAACTCAGTTTACGTACATTTCTATTTAAAATAAAAGCTTCTCTTCCCAAGAAAAAAACCCCAAAATCTAAAGCAAACATCGCTTCATAATAATTCCTAACTGTCCATTCCCCAAATACTCTTCTTGCTTATCGGACAACAGCTGGAACAAATTTCTCGACTCTTTAAGATCAAATGAAGCGCCTTATCAATCCCGATAATGAAACACATGCTGACTTAAAATGTGGATAATATAATTTCAATAGTAGTAGTAGTAATGATGGAACCATCCTTCTGATATGTTTATCGAAAAATGCTATCCTCACTACAAAACAGAAAGATCGATAAAAATGGAAAATTGGTAAAAAATTTCGTGACACAAAAATGCATAACATGTACAGCTTAAAACAATAATTTTATATCGATCAACAATTGCTTTCAGCTTTAAGACCATAAAAATTTTTAAAAACGAAATTGAAACAAAAATGACAAATCGTTGTGGTATGAATGTGTGAGGAACAAATGTATCAACGCATATATAAAAGAGATTCTAAGACCAGATTTTCAAATAATACTGGAGAAAAAAAATACACAATAAATACCAATGCATTTTACAGTAAATATTGAGGGCAAACATTTATAATACAATGCGATAAAATCCTATTCATAAAGAAACGAGGTAAAAAGCCTGCTTGTCAAAGATATTTTCAATGTCTGCTTGTAATATTCAAGATTTCATCCTTATCCTCAAAACCAAAAAAAACTCCAAAGTAATAGAATTTCCGGAAAAATCGACTTATTCTACCCAAAATATTGGCCCTTTCTATCTATGAATAATTTAGCTCATTTATTATAAAATACTACCTCTTGACAATATCAATTCAAGTTCAGCTTGTTACCAAAAAGTTATGAAAATGAAGAAAAACGAAGAAAACGTCATTAAATTGACAAAAATTGTAGAAGGATAATGGGAAGCAAATCAACACCTTATGAAATCAACAAAAATTATCCTTCATTGCCGGTGTTGACAGGAAAGACTGAAACTCAGATATTCGGGTAGACTGAAACTCAGATAATTACAGATGACGTAAAATACTTTGCTTTAAACTCTATTTACAAAGTTGCGAAATAATTAAAAATACTTGGGTTGACATATTTTAAGGCAAATATTTTAGGCAAGCTCTACTCGTTTGATTCTTATTCTGCAATAAACAGCCAGCGTATGCAATCATTTACACAGAAGTGAAAATTGAAAAAAAAAAAAACAAAACAGAATCAATATCCGTTTACAAGTACCCGATCGTTAGAGAAATTACCCACGGCATCCGATATTTGATACCATTGGTGTCAACATTATGTGGTTTCAGATTCTGTGGGTGTAGCTGAATCATATACTGTATCATTGTCGCGAGTTTCGGATTGCAGGGTACACTGTCTATCCAGGGATCCAGCGCCACAGTCACAAAAGAAACTAAAAAAAAATGAGTGCAAATGCACACCAATAAATCAAAAAAATTCGAAAATGTGTCATAACATAAAAATTAGCATAATATAAAAATCAGTAAAGCCTACAAGTTTTAATCGGTATTGAAAATTTTTTAATACCACACTTGACCTTCTGTATATTAATTTTACCAGCTTTAAACTACCAAAAAAAAAAGGCTCTGAAGATTTCTAAATCATGCAAACACCTTAAATGTCTAAGTAACTTTACGTTACTTAAATAACCGTATAAGCTTATAAGGAAATGAAGTAACAATGTGCAATTTAATTGACAGTGACTTTTCGAGAAGCAACTGTAAAAAAATTTTATAATCAGGATTAAAGAAATGCTAACCGATCATGGCGAACAAATTCTACATTATGTCCTTTGTGACAAGATTTGATGCAGTTGACACAAATCGCATTACGATCTGTTGTATTACAACTTATGCACCTGAAATTTATGGAAATGCTTCAACAACTTTACGTATACAAGATACAAAACAATAAAAGCCGAAGTCATACATGATGAAAAAAGTAATACTAGTTACAACTTAACATAAATGAAAATGTTGTCTAAACGCTTCATAAATTTCTAATTTTTCAGATACCCTAAGATTCCCATGAAATATTTTTAGATAGTTTAAGATTCGCATGAAAAGTTATATATCTAACAAATATATTCTGCTTTCTAACCTAGTACAATTTATGATATGAAAAAAAAAAAAAAAAAGGAAAATACTTACAGTGTCCCATATAATATAGCAACACATAAATTTTCAATATTCCAAAAATTACTTGAAGCATATAAAAAGTACCGGTAGAAGTCATGCATTGGAAATGAAGTGCAGGAGCTTATTTTGAACAGGCAGTATCCCTTAGCAATCGTCCGATCAACAGCATTATGATTATCGTAAATAAGGTTATCACGCATTATTGGACGAACATCACTTGCTAAGCACAAGCCTAAAGATAAAATGGTATGCTGTCAGGACAATTATAGCAAATGAGTGTCCTAAATGATGAAGAAATGAAAGTGATAACTAGTGATTAGGCAAATAAACCTCCGAATTCATTTTGAAACAGATGATTTCCTTCTAGTGTTGCTGTAGCACCATTTGTGATTTCGATGCCCGCGGCTCGTCCCTTATAAATCCGATTTCGTCGAAGGATGGGATTCGAATCAGTTGATATCAAAACACCAGCCTGTGCATTACGATAGATCTCATTATCTTCCAATAAACCACGGCCCTGAAATAAAAAATTAGAATTTTTCTTGAATAAGCCACTAGTTAGTCAATTGCCACATGAAACAAAAGCTGAATGTGGTAATTAAAAGTTTAGTATGATTTTTCCTATCTGATAAAATAAGCTATACTAAAGAACTGTCCAATCAAAAAGTGGATATATTAGCCACTCTACAAATTTCTACTTAATATGACTTCGATACAATTTTTGATCAAAGAAGTTCCCTGGTAATGTGATATTATTATTCAAAATACTCCTTCAAAATATGCTAAGCAACTCTAAAGTACCATGATTTGAATGTTACAGAATTCAAAC